ATTTCAACAGAGACCCTATAAAATATTGCCTTAATTATAATAATACTATAATTTCTAGGAAAGAAATTCGAATATATCTTCAAATAATGAAGATATATTAGAATTTTAAAACACATTTTTTGGCATTTTTCATGCTTTTCGATGTAAATTACATTATTCATTTTACTTTCATCAAAATACATAAAATTTCGACTATACTTTACGTACCGTCATCGTAAAGAATGTGTTATAAAATATACGTTTAAATACGTTTAATTTTGATTGGAATTGAAATTAAATCTGCAATTAATTTACCACAATAGAAAAAGAATGTTTAATGAAAAGAAAAATATATAATGATGCTAAAAATTATGCCGTATCACGCGATGATTATAGAATAATTTAATACAGAAATTATAAATTATTCATTTAAAATCCAGAATTATAGCTTTTAATCTATGTTCCTTAATTTATAAACTGTACTTCACGAGTATTCGCAATAGAAATGTTGTCCGAAGAATTGCCCTTTATTCTCAATGGTGATAAATATGTATTTCGGTCGATGATCCATCGTCATTCTCTTCAATTATAATGCAATTGCATATTTAAAAAATGACATATTTGACTTACATACCGAGATAATATCGTATTACACAAACTGTTATACTGTACAACAGTTTGCTTCATTATATACAGCACTTATACGGTGTTCTATATAAAGGAGTACATACCGTATTTACGATCATAAAAATGACTTTTCAACCATATAATATAATAAAATTTTTCAATATTTTTCAACATTTCAATATAATAAAATATTTCAAAACATTTTAATGATACAATTTATTAAATACAGGTTTTTTCAATTAAAATAAAAACGTTTATTATGACAAATTTTATGTTGAATTAATACATATTTAAGCAATGAAAACAAGAAATGTATTGTTTGTTATTAATTTAATATAACAAAACTACATGAAATATGTATTTTGCCTGTAGCTGTTTAGTGGTACAAGGTTTATATCATATTAATCGAACATATAATGGTATTACTGTACAGGAATCCAACGCTTAACATCAGCAAAACGTTATTCGGGAGCCTATTTCCCATTATTTTAAATAAGAAAAAAATATAATGCGTTATAATGTAATTTAGAACTCTAACCAACTTCCTACTAGAGCGCAACTAAAACACAATAACAAATATCTGTTTTATATTGCAGTAACATACTGTACAGTACCGTAAACATTACGTTTACATCATGGTAAATACTACAATAAATTTTTTAGAATAAAATTTAAAAAAAAGGAATAAATTGGTAAATATTTTTAAAAATTTCCCTGATACTTCTGTAAATTGTAGATATGAACGGCTAGTGTTATGTCCGTATCCATAGCCAATGATCAAGAGTTAAGATACAAGTTAACCAATAAGCGTTCGCGTATAAACGTACGTGAATTTAAAGTGAATGATAATTGGTTAACTCCTAACTCTTAATCCTTGGTCGTGAATAGGCCCGTTAATGATGTTACAAAGCGTGTTAAGACTTTCTGATATAGGGCTATTGGGAAGAGGCTGTAATGCTTCTCCAACTCCAGCAACATTCGAGATGCAAATCTTGTTTATTGACATTCGGCACGTTTTTCAAAACATCTACACGTGATTCTGACGTTCTGCCAATGATAGTTTGGATCGTAACTCCAGACTTCTTCTACACACACATCGTTTTGTTAAAACTGTTGTATTGATGTAAAAATAAATTTTCTTCGTGAAAGCATCGATAGAAATACGTATTCAGAGATACATACGTTCCATGAAGTTTGGATATTAATTAAAAACGCTGATAAAATGCTAACTAGAATGTTCTGTATGTCTATATTATGTTTAAAAGTATTGATAGCACAAATCAATGTATCAAATAACAAATCACTTTACATTAGTTTCATTGATTTATAATAAAATTTCAGTTAAATTCTTTGATACAATACTTATTTCACTAAAATTAAAAATTATAATAAATTCAAACACGCTTCTCTTTCAGCTATGTAGGCTATATTTAATATATAATATATTTTTTAATATAAAAGTCTTTAGTCTGTTTTTCCCGAGAAATTTTTTTAAAAACATTTCAAAAATTTTCCCGGGAATTCCCGGTTTCCTTATCGTAAAATGCTGTCCTTTATGATAAGAAACCCTGGGAATTCTCCCTCGTAAATGAAACTGTATAGTGTACTCCGCATAATATCTCTACACGTTAAATAATTCATCAACTCTACGCCAAAACAAAGAAAATAAACTAATTATTCATAGTTACATTTGATATAAAATTACTTATAGACTTCGTATGCAATGAAATTAATTTAATAGAAGTAATTAGTTAGTTTTCTTAATTGCATTCATATTTAAATTTGCAATGGTTCGTTTAATTCTCTAATTCATATCATTAAAATATAAATAAAGGTATGATAGCAACAAAGTATTATATTAACTTAAATCGTTAATTAGCTTATGTAATAGTAGCTTCGTGTACCACTAAAGAATCATATTGGCATCAAATATTTTTTCCTACATTTTGGCTAATATATGAAATAAACGGGGCATACTTTTCTAATTAGTTTGCTTTAGGGTCCTGAAAATGTATTGTAATCTAAGAAATTAAACTTCTAAGTTTAGAGAATCAAAATTATTCCTCATTAAGTAACGTTTTCGTATATTCTATGTCATCTACAGCATGATCAATGCTAGAGAACGATTAGAAATAAATTCTTTAGTTTAAAATACAGTTATTATAGAAGAAGAAAAAGATTAAAAATTAATCTAAGAAGAATTTTTCAAACAGAAAGAATAGCCATAGAACAGTCGAAGGCATTAGTAAATAAATAATAATTTTGGCTTTCTAAACTTAGCTGTTTAGTCTTTTAAATGTTTAAGTGTAGAATGGCAATTCACCCATTCACTATATAAATATTACATATTATTGAATAAATTCTTTCCTTAAAGGTGTTTTTTTAATTAAAAAATATATCTGTATTTTTCTATATTGATAATTCTATTATCGTTCATAAAGTACAGTAATTACATTTTATACAGTTAGAAATGAAAATTTTATTCTCATACTTGTAGAAGTATTTTATAAATAAATACTTCTATAAGAATTAAATGCATTTAAAAGGGCCATTTATGAGCATTAAATGCATTTATTAACAACAATTTATAAGCATTAACTTTCATTAATAACCTTTAAATAATGTTGGAATTCTCGTGTATATTTTTATGTCATTTTTTAAAGAAATATTATGTAATTTGTATTATAATATATGCTATAAATTCTTAAATAACGTACTGTTGAGAGTGCGATACAGTTTAGTTAAAAATATTAAGAATTTTTGTTTTTAAATATTTGTAACAAGTATTGCATATTTGATATCCTTAAAAAGAAATTATATATTATTTAGAAGAACATTTAGCTTATTAACAGATTTATAAATTGTAAAACGAAAAGAATTTTACCTAAATTAATTAACAACACATAAATACATATTTAATTTAATCTTGTTCAATTTAAAAATTCAATAATTTACTAATATAGCTTCATTAAAGCATTCTTGATTAATTTTTAATTAGAATAATTCTTTATAAATATCCTGAAAATCGATACAAATTTGCACATGAAACAACATTAACTTCATTAAAAAAAATTAAATAAAAAATGTAAAGCAACTTACTTTTTATTACTTTAACATCATCACAGCATGTTAACATCACTATTTAATTTTTTTTAGACTCTTAATTTTTGTAATAATGAAAAAAGAGGATATTTTATCACCCCATTAATTACAAGTGAGACTTTTATGTAATTTAACTAAACGAACAGGAGGATTCTCGATGCTATATCGTACTCAATCATCCAGAGAGAAGGAAAAAGAATATCGAAACATTTAATATGGAAAATTTTAAACGATGTGCATTATCCAACACGAATTGTTTTGGTCATTTGGCCACCTGAGACAACTGCAGATAAACTAGCATTAAATAAATTAAATAGCGTAGACAGCTTTATCAGTGGTCTCTACTTGTAAAGTGTAACATCGCCGTGACTAATGATAGTAGATAGATTAATTATGACTCACTTTATTAATTCTTCTCTCTGCAGTTTTATATTTTAGCTGCAGAACACACGCCATCTTTCCATAATTTCATCAGATCTTAATTACATAACTTAATTTTCAAATTTTAAAATGCACGTGTTCTTGTTATAGTCTAGCGCCATCTACTTTCTTATAAGAATTTCTTTTTCTTTTACTTAACAGAAGTTAAACTTTTTTTTCACAGAAATTTGATAATTTTTTTTTTCATTTGGATGATATTTTCAAATTGCAGACCTAGAGAAATTTCGAGCGTGCCTATCTGGTCTCGATTTTCATCGATGGTCATCGAGAATTTCGTATCTGGTCCCGATTTTTATCCATGATAATGAAGATTTCCATATCTGGTCTCGATTTTCATCCATTATAATGAAGATTTCCATATCTGGTCCCGATTTTTATCCTTGATAATGAAGATTTCCATATCTGGTCTCGATTTTTATCCACGATAATNTATTTATATATATATATTTATTTATTTATTTTTTAACGTAGTTAATTATTTAGCGCAATCCCACTGCGCCATCTGTCAAGCGTGACCTTAACTATTCGGAAAATATATAATTAGAAATAAGCTATTCATTTAAAATGATTCGAAAAATTCAGTCAAAATAAATAAATTGATAATAAAATATATAAATAACATATTTACATTGTTCATCTAAAAAGAATTCTTTCTTATTTATGAAAAATTAGTTTACTACAAAGAAATATGAATTTAGTTAACTTAATTATCTGTAGATGGCGCCACACTTTTGAGATTTTGCACATGCGCATAAAATTTATTTATTTATTTGTTTATTGTTATTTTTCATTTCTTCATTGAAAATTGAAAAAAGAAAACAATTTCTTAAATAACTCTCTTTATTTGAAACAAACATTTGAATAAAAAGAAATATTCTATTTAAAATATTTAAAGAAAAATAAGCAACAAAAAGACAAACAAATAAAATATATCCAAATATCCACGAATTTTCACATATCTCGCGAAACATTTTTTTTTCATTTTTTTTAAAATTAAACATAAAATTTTCTTATATTCTCTATTATATACTAATTACTTTCACGATTTCAAACTGATTTTTTGTTTTTTCTATCAGGATTCTTTCGTCTTCATAGTTAATTTTTCCACAGATCACAGCATTCACACGAATTCTAACGAAACAGCACAATTTTTTTTTTACTATATAAGTCATTACTGCAGTTGAATTCACATCACTAATATTCATGTCATCCTTTATTGATGTCCTTATTTATGTATTTATTTATTTATTTTAATATATTTTTCTTTTATATTTTTAGCTCCGAACGACTTTTTGTTTTTTTTTTCTTTTACTATTTTGGCCTGCAGATGTTTGATAATCGTTTCTTTACCCCAGGACCAGGATTATGAGAAACTGGGACTGTATCCACACTGCAGAGTTCTTTCTCCAGCTCCTGCACCATATTTTGGTCCAAGGCACACTATCTGTGAACGATGACACTGAACCAATTCAATAAAAGTATGATTATCAGTTGTGTTGTCGGTATGCAGTTTGTGCAGTTTGTCTGTCTTCCGTGTTGCATTGCTGCAGGTTTCTCACCTGAAAATATTAAATTTGTTAATTATCTTAATAAATTACGATTCAGATATGATTGATATATTAACGCGAAAAGCACATTACGATTTATATTACTAGTCATTTCGCCTATCACTGACAGGGGCTGACCCGCAATGGGATCAATCAGCAATGGGTGAGAGATGAGAAACGGCGCCTCTATCCGTACCATCCGTGATAAATTATGGAGTTTATCATCAGTTCATCTGTAATAGTTATCTATAGTTATCCAATGGAGCTTATCCATGATAATGAGGTAGATAGTTGACTCTGGTGTATCATGTATCATGTATAGAGTGTTATGGATCGAACTCAAAACTGTATCCCACAGCAGTAGTTTGAATACAATAAATTAATCAGCAAATCTAAATATTCTCGAGGATTATTTTAAAATTAGCTAAAATAGAGATTATAATTTAATTTTATAAAGAGAATTTTTGAAATATTTTAAAATTAAGGAATGTATATTAAATTATAAGAATATTTTAAACAATTTCAGAGATATTAAACACTAAAATCTGTATAAACCTGAATCGCATGGTACCGAATTGTTTTTTTCGTATTAGCAGAGTTTCCGTTGTATTCAGGTTCCGTTTTAGACAGGTTTTACTGTATATATAAACTAAATTATCTAGCGATCAGTATAATAAGATAATTAATTTGAATATCTACTGCAAAAACAAAAAACGTTTCAAAAATATTTTTATACTAAAACGAAAAATAATTTTCAAAGTGTTCTTAATTCTCACGAGATTTTTTGCAAATTTTTCACGAAGGAATATGGAAGATGAAGTACTAACGATAATTAAATATTTAAAAAGTTTTTTAATAAATATTTTTTATTATAAAGCTTCTACTTTTAATCTAAACTCTCGTGATGATATATAAATTTTTTAATGCTAAAAATTTATCTTACGGGGAACTATATGTACTCCGATTATGTAGATCAATAAATTTTAAAAATATTTTAAAGGTTACCTAAATTCTCATGAGACTTTATAGATTTTTAAGTTGCTAAAATGTAACTTACTAAGAGGATATATGCACTGGAGTGCCATGAGATCAATAAATGATAATTAAATAACGTTCATAAGCATTATCTTTTCGTTATTTCTGAAGAGAAAGATTATTTCTAAGTGAATTTTATTTTTAAAAATTTTTCAATTTGTTAGAATAAGAAAAATTTGCTTTAAATATATTAAAGAGAGTTGAAATTAATTATTTCAATGTTTTAAACCATGTTTTAAAGATTATCTGTACGTTATTTCTTGTTTAAAATCCATTCCAAAGTAGGAATTATCATTATTTTTTTAAATATCCAATATAAATAATAAAATGCAAACATGAATGAGAATTTATGAAGTCTACTCTGAGTTGTGTACTGATACATGGCTGTATAATCCTACCATAAATAAAATAATAAATAAGGTTTTATCATAAAATATTCTTTGGTGAACAGCAGATGCAAACCAGGGCATTCGTCGCTGTAATTCCGTTAAATTTTCTGCTTTATTCATGAAATACAAATGCAATTCGACTATTTACCATAGATATTAAGTTATTATTAATTACTATTTCTAAATCAGAATGAAATTTTTGGCATTATTAACATATTAAAATGCAGATTTAAACTCTTCTACTCCTTTAACTGAAGCAATAACGAGCTGATGATATCGGAATTATTAATCCCAGTAAACATTTTGAAATTACAACAAAATAATCTTTATTCATAAAAATATTACACTTTTATGAAGGTAATTAAATATGTAAATGCCTCAACAACATCATTAGATAATTTTTTTAAAGATATTTTCTTTTAAATATCATAAAATATTTGATTTATGATGTCGACGGGGATGTAGAAGTTTTCGTGTAAAAGAAATTCTTAAAATATTTTAATCGTTTAAAAATTCATCCTAAAATTTACCTTTTGGTACATTTTTTAATACAGTGAAACCTCTGAAGAACGGTCACTGATGAAAACATAAAAATTGGCCGTTCTTCGGAGGTGGCCGTTGTTTTGAGTGCATTTCAAAAAGAAATGGGCGCCATTGGGAGGTGATCATTATTGAAGAGTCTACTGTATTTACCATTTAATTATATTTACAAAAATAAAGATATAAAAGTATATACGAGTAAAATTGCATTATAATTAATAGAAAATGTTAAATATATTGACTCTAAAATTTAATTAATTCTACAGCACTTGTTAACCTTAAAGATGATAATATACCTAAAAATATTAAGGAAAATAAAGAGAGAAATATATAAATTCATATATAGTAAGGACCCATAACCTAGTGTTAGGTATGTACAGTACCTATAACTTATATTTATATGCAATATAGAGATCGAATTGGATTGGATTAATGGGATAAGACGACGCAACACATGGACGATCTGCCAAGGGGGTGCCTTCGGAAAGGCTTTCTATGAGAAACTGGTTCCTATTAGACACGTGAAGAAAATCCGAAAAACCTCATGTGGCCATCCCGTTAGTCAGGCACCAACCTGAGACCAACTACCAATGTTTTCATCCATTTCGCCATTCAGGGCCGGATTTACAGATAAGCTAACTAAGCTTCAGTTTAGGGTCTTCGCCTCGTGAGTGTAATTTACGGCCTCACATTTTTAATGTATTACTATTTGGTGGAGGGTCTGCTATAGCTTAAGGTCACAAATCTAAGTTCAGCAATGCGGCTATTTGCAGGCATTCAATATATGGATAAGTTATAGATACAGCACAAGATGCACTTTTGTTATCCTAACTATGCTGTATATACTTAAAAATAAACATGATATCTTATTTTTTAATATCTTGGAAAGTAAAATTTGGTTATTGACCTGGGTCAGCTGGGTCAGGGAAAGATCAACCAGATGTGTATTGTGTGTATACATATAAGAGTATATATAGGCCTATATATATATATATATATATACTCTTTTTAATTCGGAGAATTTTATAAAAAAATAAAAGAAAATCCCATTTGTTAGGAGGGGAAAACAAATTTATCATATCAAATTTTCTCACTGTATTTGTTTTTGATATAAAAAACAAAATAAAATTCGAGACCGAGTATTGTGGAAAATAATCAAATCTAGTATTTTCCAATATATCCCTCGAGAGGATAAGAATATCTTTCATTTACTTTAAACAAGGGAAAAAAATTTTTTTTCTATCTACATCAGCATTATTTTCGAAAATTTCGAATGGAAATATCAAACGCCCGTGTCCCATAAGTACTATGACCCTATTGAAATTTGATAACATTTAATAATGCGATGCTTGATGAAAAAAATATTAAAGAAAACGTTCACCATTTGTAGGGTTTGTTGGAGATGTTTTATTGAGTTAGCTCGCCGTTTACCATTTATAAGGTTAGAACTTAACTAAGTTAAAATGCCTTCAATATTGATTGCGCATTAAAGTGGTAAAAATGTGCATAAAATCAATATAATGTCTGTTATTTTTTGGAAAAACAATTTACTTTAACAAAAATGAGATCATGAAAAAATATTAAAAGCTAAGTTAAGCTTCAAAACTCTCATAAATGAGTGCAATGCAAAGCCATAATACTTCAAAAAACTCGAGATTTCTTTTGGTAATAAATATGATAAATTAATACGAGAAAAATAATATTTTATTATAATTTTTAATTATTATATCCTTTACTCCATTATTTTTAATTCAATATATAGAATGTGGATTATTTGATAGCTTAGTAAATTGCAAAAAAGAAAGCCTAAAAACCATTACAAAAAGTGATGCTGGTAAATATCAATTTCGATAATTGGAATGGTATCATATTCTCTAATTAGAACTATTCGTAAGTTTTTTTTTTTAATAAATTTTAAAATCAAGATATTTAACTAATGAACAGGGCTATAAAAACGTCAATTAGCTGATATTACACCGTAAAAAAATTGTTACTGGTTGAAAACTGATTGCTAAACTTCAGTAAAATTTAAATATTTTAAATTTAAAAAATAATTATCGCTAAATTAATAGAATATTGCTGTAATTTATTTTTTTTAAATCAGCTTAAGCAATGAGGGAAGATGTTGCGGACATATTGATTTGGTTTGATTGATTAACACGAGGCACCAACTCATTGTAGGCTATATGACTGGCCATAATTACATCCAGTACGGGTTGGCCTGACCTCCAATGGAGTTGATCAGCGTGAGTAAGAGAAAGGAAGACATTCTGGCCCATACTATTCGTGATAAATTATGAAGATCCGGACACGGTTCGAATGCGGATCCTTCATTGTGGTAAACTGAGACCTTAATCTTACAACTTATTGAATAACTTGAAAAATCATGAATTTTTAGTAAAATCTATAATCTTGAGCATCGTGTATAACAAAGTTTCAAACTTATACATGAATAAACATGTTAATCCGAATTTTATAGCAGAAACCTCGGTTTAAGTAAAGCTGTTTAAGTAAAGTTAATGGATTACATTAAAGAAAAACTACTTTATAGAATCAAATATAATATTAAACACTCGAAAATATAGCTTACCATTTAAAACATGAACGGTGATATTTGCAGGATCAGCATAAGAGGGCATACACGAATACTTTCCAGAATCTGATGGTTTGGCATTGTGTATTTGTAATCTACTAACTGTCGTTGGTCCTCTCTCTGTCGTAACTTTAATCCCTCCTCTTGTAGAATCGTAATTGATCATGCGATCATCGTGGTACCAGAAGACAAAAACTGGAGGAGTTGTGCTTTCTGTGATGATACAAGTCAAATTAATAGTACTACCGCTCTGAATGTAAAGATTTGGTCCTTCTGGTATACTGGCTCTAGCCACTGCAAAATAACAAAATAAAAATAATAAATAAGTATGGATTAAGTTCACTTAATTCTTTAACTTGGCGAAAATGGGTCAAATTGACAATAAGAAAAAGAAAGTTCTATCTTTAAATCCTTTATTTATTTTTCAATTTATGCAATGTGGTGTATGTATATATAAAGAAGAACCATAAAAAGCCATCTAGTTAAAAATTTACTCTCTAATTTAAAATTAAATTAAATTTTGTTTCTTTTTTTTTAATTTTGAAAATGAATCAAATTAGTACGGGCGTTTACACACTATAATCGTTTTAAATTATTGTTAATCAGGCAAAAATTAACTTTTCTAATTATAAAATTTATAAGAATGAAACTTAGCTTTAAAATTTTTGAAGAACATGTATTAAATAGTAATTTACTTCTGTTTACTTCTCAGAGGATTTTTTTTCTTTTTTTTCTTTCCATTTTAAAATAAAATTAATAATAATTTTTTTCAACTTCAAACTAATTACAAACTAAGTTTTTATAAGAAAGGGGAAAAAGCTAAATTTTATGTTTTCGGGAAATATTTAATATTTTTTTTTCTGCTTTTTCTTCTTTAAGAATAGCAATCCATTCGATTATAAGCAGGAATGACCGCACTTTATCAAATGTCAAAGTAGAAAGGAACGTCACGCAATATCAAAATTAAAGACAATATTTCCGATATAATATATATATATATACATTTTTTTATTTCCACATATAATAGAGATGAAATAATGTTTTTTTACATGAATTAAACTCTACATAAGTCGTTTATATACGTAACTTGTACGATTTCGTGACGTGTCTACTTGTTAAGTATTATTAACACGCTATATAGAATGATACGTAGAAAATGTGTTTCAAATTGACATAAATCTGTGCTTTTTCTCTCTCCCACTGACATTAAACATAATAAAAAAAGAGATAGATTTTAAATATATATATATATATATAGGCTATACTATATACTTTTAACGATTTCGATTTTTATCCGGAAGGTGGGTTTTAGATATTGTTCGATTATAAGCTTTATAATCGTTTCCTGCTTGTCTTTTAAGTGTGTAATTAAATCGATTTCCAAAACTCAATTGTGGCTTGGTTATTTTGAATTTCGTCACGAGATTTAAATTACTTTGAAACGATCTATTTTTTGATATTTTCACTTTAAAATATCAAATTTTTAGTAGTAAAATCAGCAGTCTATTTGGTATGTAGAAAGGATAAAATGTCTTTTTTTTAATTAAATTATATATGAGCAATCTTCATATAAAGAAATTAGAAAGAATCTGAGTTAGGGTAGCAGTTACACCTGTGTAGTTGTATAGGCTTATTCCTTTGTCCCTGTATCTGTCAAGCAGAAGTACAAGTCCCGGGGGCACAGTTATCTAGTAGCTAGTTACTTTACCAACTTCTGCACTTGATATGTTTGCAGTGTTATCAGAGTGTAGCGAATGAAGAAAAAACTGTCACTTCAGAAATGGATAGAGTACAGTCGCATGCACTTTTAACTAACAATTTCGCTTGTAATAATTATACGAGTCGAGAGTTTTGGGAGGAAATAAATTTATAAAATGGATAATGGGTAGAATAGTCTAGACACTTCACTAGAATGTAACAATTTAGAAAAGATACGCTGCAATTCATAGAAGATATTCAGAAATTTCTTTCTTTCGCTTAAGACTTCCGATGTTTAAATTCTAAAAACGAATTTTTTTCTTTGAATTCATACTTCAAGTTCTATTTAAAGTTTATTTTCAGAATAAAAGAGTAGAAAATCAAGTTTAATATAAAAGAAAATATCGAAACTGAAGTTAAAGATTGGTTTTAAAGGTGAACAGACCGTTTACAGAAGTAGACACTGGAGTTTAAATTGAAGTTTAGAAGATTGATATTCGGAAGTTTGTCTTGTTTTTTTTCCTATATCCTTCCAATTTTAAGAGATAATTGCTCAATTTAAATACTTTTATTTCCAGTTTTATAAAATAATATATATATATATACATAATTTTAAAATATTAGAATAATTCATATGTTAATAATGAATTTATTATTGAAGACAATTGAAACAAAATAATTCTTAGTGATTCAAGTCTTGTATGTATGAGGAACATGCTTAGCATGCCGATAGCATCTATTCTATTTTATAAAAGAAGATAAGCACAAATTAATTCTACTAGCACATCCTTCACAGCTACAGCAACACAATTAAAACTTAATGCTGTCGACCTTTTATTGTAGTCTTTATGTATTTCTATATTTAACTGTTCTTGGTATGTGAAAACGTAGAGGTCACGGAAGATACATATAAATTCATTTGTAATATCTCCAAATTAGAAAAGATCATATTTGCATATATAACATTTTTACTTAAGCCTTCAGAGTTTGAAAATTTGCACAAATTTATAATATTTATTACAAGATGAATTACATTAAAATTCTTAGCCCGAAGAAAGATGTTGGAGTAGAATGCACTTGTGAACATTTTCTGATCAATTTTTATTAAAGGTAAAGCAGGTAATGAACATCTAAGTTGAAAAACCTTATCTCCGTTCCAGGTCAGTAAGATAAGAGAATTTTATCTTTCGTTTAACTTACCTTCTCCTAAAATGAAAGGTGATAACATTACATTGAACGGTAATTTAATTTTTGCTACTGATCTTGTCTACTTTCCAGTTCAATTACCGGCAATACATCAAAGAACGAATCCTGTTCAAAACCACCTTTTTGCTTTTTCCCTTCATCCCCTATTTTAAAAGTCTTCTACTACTTCATAATTTAATTACTAATATTTTCAGTTAATCTTTAGATGTTTTCATTTTCTTGATATTTAGAAAACTTCAAAGATAAATTTCGAAAGAAACTTTAAGTTTGGTGTATGGAAGCTCCTCTGACACATGAAGATTTCAAAGATTATTTAGAGAAATTTTGAAAGATTCGTAGTTAATAATTTGAGATAAGCTTGATTAGTGAGAAGGTTGTTTAATTAGAAAGCTTAGTTTATCATAAGATAATGAAAATTCATCATCAATAATCTTCTAAACTAGAAATTATTTTTCTCTTATAAATTTTCTTAATAATTCTTTATGAGTTATATCAGCATTAGAGTGATTTATTTATTATTCTGAAAAATGATTTCTAATAAGAATAGAATGTTTTGAGATAAATTTTCAAAAGTTTAAAATCATGTTTAATTATTACTTTTTGGCATTTTGGAATAGAAAAAATAAAAATAATAATAATTTTATCTCAAACTTTAACTCAAAGAATTATTAATCTAAGAAATTACACTTAGATTTTCAGTTTACTTAAAACTTTATTGATTTATACCAATATTAAAATAATATATTTTTAAGATTGTTTCGTATTTTTGTAGATAAATTTATAACCATAACTTTACACTTTTATTAAAAATTTTATGATTGATCATAATTTATTGGCTAAATATTTAATTTATAACTGAATTAATTAATGATAGAAATTAATTAATAAAAATAAGAAGAGATTTTTCATAGAAATTGTTAACTAAAGTCAAATAAGAAGCAAAGAAAGCTGTTACGTTATCGTTACCTTCCGTTTTAGAATATATAATTTTTTTTTTCTTTTTTCCTACGTTTCTGTAGATAATTAACGGATCAAAACAGTTTTTATTTTTATTTAAATCATTAAAGGAATGAAATTGTATTTTTTTAAATTGCAATTTAAAGAAAGTTGTTCAGATATGGGTTAAAATAAAAGAAAAAATACAAATATAAAAAAATGTTAAAGTTAGTTTAACGAGGGAAAACTTCAGTTGCAGATAAGAAAAAATAAAAATAAACGAGGTGGTTTTTATTTCTTCCTTTATCCTTTCATTCTTTTTTTCCTCCTCTCGATAGGACAATATATCTTGGAAATATTATGTTTTTATAGCATTTTATTGCAATGGCAAACGTCAAAAGCAGATGACAAATCAGAATTGAATTTAGATATTTGTTTACGTATATACCTACCTACGACGTTTAGCATAATGCTTAGACTCATCTTTGGTTCGGTGCTGACTTGGCATTCGTAAATACCTGCATCACGTTTTTGTGTATATTTTACTTCCAATGTCCATATATCGGAGTTTTCCAGGTGGATACAAGTAAATCTTTGGTCACTGGTATATGTATACCTTCCTACGGTGAGTATGTGTAGATCACGTTGTCTTACCCACGAAACCTGAAATCATAAACGTAGTTACAGTTTAAAAAAGATAGATAAATAAATTTTCAATTGAGAATATTTTGATTTATTGTTATGATTGAATAGTTCTTTTCTTTAGAGACTTTACCATTTGAGAATTTTCTCTTTACTGAATATAAAAATATTGTTATTTATGAGTTCCTCTTTGAGTAAACATGTTTTATCCAACCGTCACATACAAACATTCATATTTATCTGTTTTATTCAAATATAAAATTGAAATCTTCAGAAATGTGAATATAAAATCAAAAAATCTAAAACATTATCGATAAAATATTAAATTAAAAATTTAAAAAGTTATATCTTTATTAACGATACTAAAACATCTGATAAATCATCTGCCACATCACTAGATGTGAGCTGAATAAATATATAAAGATATTTCCTATATGTATATATATATAGTATTTTAAAAGATTCCTCACAGGACCTTTTTTTCATGTCTGAGCAATAACTTTCGGAATGCCAACTGCGTATTAAAAATCTGTTCTGCTTCAGCTCTAAAAATGAAGGTTGACTGGATTCATAATATAATGCTATTGGCAACTATTGAAAATTTTACCTGAATGCTATTCGTTCTTGAAATATCTGACCAGAAAGCACCATTACTACGCCACATTACCTTTTTGTCGAACTATAAATCTGTGACTTAGAAAACGTACTAGAGATTTCCTCATTGATACAAGAAGATGTGTTGTAATGGATTAAGAACATTGCATGAATTGATATAAGGTGTTAAGCTTTTTTCCTTCTCTTTTTACTCGTGTTTACTGATAAATCGCTTCCCTTAAGTACAGACATTAGTAGCGTTTTAATGTGTAGCATTAGTTAGACAACTTTACTTCGTTCGGGATTAGGTTTTATGACATAATTTCCGAATCTTTTTCATAGAGGATGCTACTTATAGAAACTGAATTCATTTATTCATGTTTGGCTACCTTCATATCTATATATATAATATACCTAGAAGCTATGTTTATACATTATAAGAACGCTTCAAAATTTTCTAAAGGTGTTCGTGTTAGTATCGATTGGGAGGTATGGCATTTCCCGAGGATCTTCTAGATGTTTGGAGATAAATAAATGCTGTTGCAATCGATCGTTTTGAAATTAATTTTAATGGATACTTTATATCTGTTGTTTATTAGCTAATGTTTGTATATATATATTTTTTAATTTTAACGCCATAATATATTATTATGTTTGATCATCCGTCTCAGATTACTAATTTAATATTCGAGTGAAAAATTGCTCAATTATCGCGATAGAATTGTTGAGTTTCTCACAAAGAATGTGTACCTCTGCTTATTGTTGTGATAAATATATTTATCGATCATATTATTCATTAACTCAGGATAATTTCCACCACATGATAATTGATTTTTCGATATTTTTATTGCTGTAGTGCGGAAATAATAAATTGAAATTAATACTCCAGTTAGCAAATGTATTTGAAGAAAGATTTAAGATTTAATTGATTACTTGCAAAGATAAAAATTTAATCTACGTCTTCGAATTGTGACACAATAATTTTTGCTAAATTTAAAATATGCATTCGGTCTCATAATAATTTATTAAATACATTTTACTCGATAACAATTCAATATTTAGAATGAAAACATTTTCCTCGTTAATAAGAATTATAACAGGATGAGGGCATAATTTGCATATACATCAAAGCATTGTTTAATGAAATTGCTCCATTACATAGATTATCATCATTCTTTTCGTGTATAGAATATTTATCGAACTACAGATTTTCTTGAATAAATGCCTCAGAAATATCACTTTCACTTGGTGCTCCTGAAGTATTATTGCTTCTTCTCTATGACAATTCTGCTAAAATGGCTTGCAGCTGTTCAGAAGCAATCTGAGAACATGTAGACAGATCAGGAAATCCTGAATTTTTCCTGAATATGATACAGATGCAAAATTTGTTACTGATCTTGATACAATTGTTCGAAATGATGTCATCCGGCTAAAATTAATAAAATTTCTATTCGAAAATTAAAAGTTTGTAAGTTTATTTTATTTTAAAATAATATTTGAGATAAGAGAATTTTAAATGTTTATTATTACATGATAAAAATGCATTGTTTATTAGTGTGTAGATAAACAGTTTGATAGAAAAATAATCCTACAATTATTTTTTAAAGCAATTTCTTATTTTTATTGTTTATTTTACGTAAAGAATATAAATAATTTGCAGAATTTATTAGGATTAAGAAAGAGGAAAAATATAAAAAAATTCTACAATTTTATTTTAGAAAGATTAGCTGAAGTTTAGTATAGATTATTATCGTTCAACATGACAAGTTTTTCTTGTTTTATTCTAGAAAATTAATATATATTTCATAATATATCTATATGCATTGTAGTAATTAAAATATATATTTAATGTTTATGAATTATACATTCAGTTAAAATATGGTTGCAACATCTAGGTATCCTTGCATAAATAATACGAATAAGTTTTCTTGCTGGATTTGCAAATATAATTATGTTTTAATTCGGAAAATTATGTTTACCAGATTCGTCTTTGTAAAATATTCAAATTATTTTAATCAATTTTATTTATTTAAATATAAAAATATATATATATAGGCCTGTATTTAAAATAAATCTGCTTTATAGCATTAATCCAAGGAAGATTAATCCAGTTCCATTTTTAATTCAGTCGTGTCTGTCTGACTGCTCCAACAACTTTTGTGTTATGGATGGTGTTATCCGATGATAAATTTTTCAGCCACTTATTTCCAGCCAGTATATCATCAAAGTGAAATTTCATGTAGAAGACGAGGCCATACCAATATAAATGCATGCATGCAATATTATTTTTGTCACAACATAACAAATAACGTCTAGCATCCTTATAAAAAAAGTATTAGTTTTTTCTTCTTTTTTTCAGGAATATAACTAGAATAGTTGCAAATTTTATATATATAGTTAACTTATATGCATGCAAATTTACATCAGCTGACCCCATTATTCACTAGGCGTATATGAGTTAGTGCTTCTAAGATGATGAACAAAACCACTTTTATTTCGAAAAACGTGAAAACGACTCCATAAAACTGAATTTTTGATATAATAACAATTATCTGTAATATCAGCAAAGAAGTTCCGTATCAAATTTATCATTTAAATAGCATTTTTTGTATCGTCTCTTACGTGAAATCGTTTCAATTTATACTCGAAAAAATCATTCCAGTATCCAATTAAAGTAGTGTTTATAATAGTGGTACGTGTTCCAGAATATGTTTATGACCCTTAGAAGTAACTATAAAGATAGCACTAACTAAAAATGCTAATATTCACACAATTTTTAAAAATACACTTTTTATGTTCCTTACAACAGATTTAACAAATGGTTGCTTTCGCATAGATTTTTTGAAAAATAAAATATCCTTACACGTGACGTTTTCCCACAAATAACGAATTAAAATATGTTATAGCAATTCTTTTTATACCATTATAAACCATGTATTTCTTTATTTTATCGATATGTTATTGATTTTATCCACAGAGCATTTGCAAGAAACTTGTTTCTTTTATAAATATCAAGCATCATTTCTTTAACATTTTACATTTAATCTACTCAAATTATACACTAATAATAATAATAAATTGAAGAAAACTCAATTGGTTCTCTTGCAAAATTGAAATTTTAAAGTCAAAATTTAATCTTATTGCAAAAGATCAAGGTCAAAGAAAACTTCCTCTGGGGAAAAAGGACAGTTTGAAAAGCAAAGAGAAAGCTTGTCTCTTAAAAAAGTTATGGATTGGATTATATGTGAGTGAGAAAAATCATCGATTTAAGGAAAAGATAAAAGATAGAGCCCTGAGGAACGTTAGCTTAATAGAAAAAGTGTCGGATGTAGTTCTCAAACGATCATTGTAAGAAGGGAAAAAAATATATATAAAAAAAGCAAACGTGCAACTATATACACTCGAATAGTTATCGGATATTAACTGATCTAGAAAAAGTGCATAAGATCTTTAAAAAGTTTCTGACAAGTAAACGCAACATGAAAAACACATCGATACCCCGAAGGATAAATTGAAGCTACTTGTAGCAAGTAAAGGCACAATTGGTATCTTAACAACTGGGAACCACTTAAATAGATTGAAGTTTAATTTTCGAATTTAAAAATTTCTAAAAATAAAAAGAAAATTCTACAGATTTAAAGAGTGTAATTGACTGTAAAAAAGCTATTCTTAAAAAAGAATTCTTAAATTAGTTCAAAAAGCTAATTTAAGAATTCTATTAATAATTAATTGAGTATTATAATTTATTAACATTCATTAACTCAGGATAATTTCCACCACATGATAATTGATTTTTCGATATTTTTATTGCTGTAGTGCGGAAATAATAAATTGAAATTAATACTCCAGTTAGCAAATNGCTATTTTTATTCCTAAAATGCATATTATTATTAGGGAATAGAGCCTACTCGAGAGTCTAGGCTGAATAAAGAAAGAGAGTGAGAGGATGAGAAAAAGGATAAGAAAGAGGAGAGAAAGTCCCAATAGAGTACTGAATAGCTAGAATGAATGAGAAAGTATGAAAAATAAATAAGATATTTGTTGAGAAATGTTAACTAGAGAGTACAGAAAAAGTAAATACATAGTAGTAAGAATTAACAGCTTCACACACAACTTCATTGCTAACAGGAAAAGTATGATTTACAGGGGCATGCACTACTAATTTGAGATGAAGAGCATATATTTTAATGACAAAAGTTAAAAAAAATATGATTAAAAATTGCAGCCTGGTATTGTAATTATGTCACAATGAATAATTGTTCGTTTCTATTAAAGTTACATTTATATTTCTATTAATTAGAAGGTATTTTCTACTAAGGTTACATTTATTCATTTCTAACTATAAAACAATATCTTCAATATTATTGTAAATATATTCTCTTCTGGCTAAGTTTTATGACCAATAAAACTTTTGAATAGCTGTTTACATCTTACCATTCTCGACAATATCGTGTCTTTTGGAATAGGTTACTATAATTAGAACCGAACTTAATAATGAATGCGAAGACATAGAAGGAAAGATCCTAGGACCCGCTTTATATTTTAATTATAAAATTATTCTTTATACTTGCCCTTGTAAAGGACACGCTTCTTTCTAATAATATCTTTTTCATCAAAATATTTTATAAAGATAATAGTTTTCAGTTTACTGAAATCTGTCGGAATCTTTTGTAATCGTTGACTGACTTTTTCAGAAGTTCGGATTAGATAATAAAAATGTCGAAAGCGAATGAATCATAATTAAATTTGCATCCCGCTGCACTAAGCAGACACTACACAACAGTGGCAGATATTATTTTCGAAAAAATAAATGTAGCCTTTCACTCGTGTACCAGTTCTAAAATGTTTTATCATTAAAGATAAGCATTAATTAATTTAAAGGGGAAATTTTTAAGGATATATACAAAAACAATTTATGAAGAAGTGACATTGTTTAAAGCTTAGAGTCATGAAATGTAGAAAATAGGAAGTTTGTGTCCTCTGGCAGTTACACAATACATAAGAGCTATCGATTGTCAGAAAAGAAAGTTGCTCAGATATTGTTGCAACAACTCCGA